GTACTACTATGTATGCAGCTGCGTAATACAGAGGTCAAAGATCTTTGGTAAGATCACGCGGGTATGCGACGTGTGAATAACGAAGCTGACGGGAATTCCCTTTTGCTATTTCAACACATCACAATTCTTGGAGAATTTTTTGGGGAAATATTTTACATTAGTCATACGAGCGAGCTAGAAGCTTTCGACCTTACCAGATTGAAGGGATATTATATTCAGGTGCGATTGTTATAGCGTATATATGCCCATATTAAACAACATCTACCAGGCGCTATGGAGCATGTTCTATCTTCAGCTTTGCATTCAGCAGATCAGACAAGGTATGTTAACCCTAAAGGGGCCGGGGGGGGGGCGGAATCCAACATTTTCCGTGATAGCCTCTAAAAAAAATTTTTCGCGACCCGAGCTGTTATGACTTTTTAGCCTCGAGCTTTGCGCATCTTTTGATACCAAAAACATAAAAATCGAACCACGGGTTGCCGCGTAGCGAAACATTTTCCGGCGCTACGCGCCGTGATAACTGAATTTTCTCATAAACGTCGTGTACACAGAGCAGATTTGCAATTTATACATATGAATATTTAATTAGCCATAATTCCAAAACCCTTTGACCTAAAGTCATGAAATTTCTTGGGTATGTTTAGGAAGAGTTGCTCTATGCACGTGTCGAGTTTCAAATTTTTTCGTCACTCGATGGCCGAGATCTTAGGGGGGAATCCGCCCCCCCCCCGGCTGAGAGATGGTCAAAATAACCCGGCCCCTTTAGGGTTAAGAAACATGTCCCCGGCGCTTAGGCCAAAAATTAAAAATAGCAGGTCTCTGGTCAGACCAAAGTTCCGGAATCGATGTGGCGATGCTGGTTTTTGTTTGTTTTTGTTTTTGTTTTGCTTTTTTTTTTCAAGCGTGGATTGTACACGCAAACATACGGTGGCTCGTATTAACCAATTCGTTGCGCACCTCTCTTTTCCTTACGTCTTGCATCTTGTACTCACTTTTTCTTATATCGCCGTACTACTAATATTGCGTTATATCCCCGTACTATTGCGTTGTTTCGCCGTATTTTATTGCGTTAGATCGCCATAATTCTTGCGTTATATCGCCGCATTTTATTGCGTTATATCGCCGTATTTTATTGCGTCATATCGCCGTCCTATTGTGCTATATCGCCGAACTATATAGGCCGATAGTTCTAAAGTTTAAATACAAACAACCCAGTGTTTTAGTCGGGGGGGGGGGGGGTTGACCACGGAAGTGTTTGCATTTTCTTGCCATTTGAACTTTGTATATAGATCAGTATTCCGACGAGTGTCACCTTGGCACCCTTCAGCATTTTTGTTTACATTAATTAATATGCGAATAAGCTACCGACATTATGTTAAATGCAAGTTTTATTCAGAATCTCGTCCAATCCTAGCAATCATGGTGTCTTGATCATGTTTGGGGGTCAAAGAATTTATTAAAGCCATTTTACAACGATAATTCGTGTATTCTATGCATAATAATTATGCAAATTAGCATCCTCAATAATAACAGATTAACTTCTATGTATATCTCCGCAGGACAAAGTCCGATCAAATCAAACGAGGTGTCTAGACTCATGTGTTTATGAATTCATTCAAACCATTTCTACAATGATAATGTGAATATCTTATACATAATATGCAAATTAGTATCCGTCATTGTGAGAAATATAACTTAAATTGTATAGATCAACAGGAATTTGCTCAATACTATCGAATGAGGTGTAGAATTAGACCCCTTTTCCAGATTCACTGATTTAATTGAAGCTGCCTACTGGAAATGTTATATATTTTATACAAAAGTATGCAGATTAGCTGTAGTAACTATTTTAAATGCAGTGTTTCTTAATATCTTGATCTATTATTAGGAGACACACAATTATAAGCCCACACTGCAAAACAGACTTTTCTTCTCACGTACAGACAAGTTAACCTACGTACGAACGTTAAAAAAAATGCAAGAAAAGTGTCCTTCTGTTTTAAAACATATTCAAAGTAACTGTCTGTTCTTATTTTGACATGGTTTTGATTGGGGGGGGGGGTGCTGGACAGAAGGTAGTTCTATCCGGTCTTTTCTTAAAATTCTGATCTTCAGAAAACATTGTCAATTTAACAGATTTTTTTGTGTGGAAATATGATTTAGGGAATTGTTTTCATAGGGGCTCTAACAGGATTATGGGATTATCTTTCCTAAGCCTGGTATAGAATCATGACTCTTTCAAAACACAAAATCAGACACAACAAAACACCATTGTGTCCAATAAATAATAAATTATATGTAAGGATCCCACTTCTAAGCAGTGTTGCCACTGTGTGTGTGTGTGCGTGTGTAAACACCGGCAATCGTGGACGTAGGACAAAAGAATTGGGGCGCAAACAATACGTCCACGATTGACCGAACGTCCACGATCTCAAATCGTGTACAAAACCAATGAGAGCTGTCGCTAAAAAGAGTACAAACAAAGGAAAGAGGATTAGGGACAATGGGGCGTCCACGATTGCCGGCATTTACACACGTGGGTGTGAGCTTGTCTTACATACGCAGTGTGGACTTCCGAACAAAAGACGTCCACATAATGTAGGTAGCAGCGACGAAGTGTGGACTTGCCCACGTCCACACAGTGTTTCCCCATTTCTGGAAAACAGGTTTAGAGGCATTTTTGGGTTAGGTTTATCTGTAGCAGAATGAAGAGAAACACTAAAGGGAATCATTGAAAAAAAATTGGGTTGTAAGAGTTTTCACAGTTTGAGAAAAATGAGTTTATCCACTGGTGTTCCTTAACTACACGAAAAGAAAGGAAAGTCCACACTAGGTATGTGAAACAAGTCTGGGTGTGTGTGTGTGTGTGTGTGTGAGGTAGGTCCATCCTACACTTAAGTTGGATCATGCACCGAGACAAAACACTAATTAAATGGAAGATAGAAACCAGAACTTAGGATCTCACACTGATTCACTAAGATTAAATTAGATTTCAAAAGATTGAGTTAATGCAATTCCAAAACAAGACAGTGCAATCTCCTTTTTAATAACTCTTAATTTTCTCACTTAACTATTCCAAATCTTAATTACATGAAGTTAAACTTCCAATGTTTCTAAAATTCCTCAAAGCAGATATTCCACAAATTCCTATGATTCCCAAAATTCCCCGAAATTCCCCGAAAAGCCAGTCACGTCCCAGCTACATGTCAAACCCACGGCAAGCGAGCAGTCTGTGCACATAGTCTAAGCACTATAGCAACAAGATTCAAAGCCTTCTGAAAGGGGTCTTAATATTACAAAGCTCAGTTTGAAAACTTACATGAAGTACTTTATACCTCATTAAACTATACTCGTTTATCCATTTTTAACAGTGATCAAAAAGTAATTACTTAAAAACAAGATCCATTAGATTATAAAACTTAAATTTAATTCTAAGATTATTGGGGCACTATATTTTACCATGGATAAATACACCCTGCACTCTGTGTCGGGGTCACATGCAAATGAGGCATATGTAAATAACATGAGATAGGGACAATCCCTACCCCTACATATTATGTGACACATTTCCAACTTATTTAGGTTTCCCTGCAAATTACAACCCAAAAATGAAAATGTTTACCAGTTCCTCATCGGATTCAATTTTGTTTTGAAGAGTATTTGTTGATGTACAGCAATAACTGATGCCTTATACCAACAATCGCTCTTCAAAACCCTATTTTGATCTGAATTAGGGGACAAATGCCGAGTGCGTACGTGTTAATGAAACTGACCGAAATTCATCAAGTTTGGCCCAAAACCAATAATCTTCACTATTCATTATTTTTAATGAAAAAAATACGTGCTTTCATATAGCATTAGGGGTGTCGCTTGGGGGAAATCCCAATAAACCCGTGAAACAATTGATATCATTGACGCTAAAAGATGAATGGGTTAATAAGTTAGGACGATATCCTGCATTATGTATTTAGAAAAATGTATACGCTAATGGCGGTAGATAATTTGCATATTTGCTTAAAAATGAGCATTATCGTTTGATAAATGGCTCTACACACCTCGTTTGTTACGAGTGGACAAATTCCTGCGGAGAAAATAAATAGATGTTATCATTATTTCTAAAAGTGGCGCAGGCTAATTTGCATATACATATTATCATTGTAATGGCTTTAATGAATTCGTTGACCCTTTATAGGAACATAGGTTTAGACACCTCGTTTGATACGATTGGACGAAGTCATGCGAAGAAAGAAATATACATTTTTTTTTGATAATTAACCAATTTGCATATTATGCATAAACGAGACACATTATCATTGATAATGGCGGTAGCTAATTTGCTTATTAATTGATTTTAAAAAAATTCTAAAGGATGCCAAAGTGGCACCCTTTCGGAATATTTATCAACAAGGTTAAAATGACGAAAAAAATGAAAAAAAAATTGTGCGGACCCTTATGCACGCTTCCGTGTCAACCCCCGGACTATAATAACACTGGGTTGTATGTTTGCATTTGAATTTTATAGTATTGTAGTTCGGTGATATAACGCAATACTATGGTGATATAAATCAATGAAATACGGCGATATAACGCAATAGTATTCGGCGACATAACACCGTAAGAAAAAGAGAGGTGCGCAACGAATTGGCGAATACGAGCCACCGTACATTAGTCATACGAGCGAGCTAGAAGCTTTCGACTTTAGCAGATTGAAGGGATATTATATTCAGAGGCGATTGCCATTATGCCCATATAGACAACATCAACCATGCGCTATGGTGCATATTCTATCTTAAGATTGTATTCAGCAGATCAGACGATTAAGGTATGTTAACATGTCCCTGCGCTTACGGTCAAATTTCAATTTGTCAATACACCGCGTATATGGGATGGAAACGAAATGAAACGAGTACTGAATATTCAGCCTCAGGCTGACGGGTTGCTAAATAAAATAATCAACATGAACAACTGACGATTGTTTATGATTATCATGTAGGAAGAAGATGGCATCATCACCCGAACCAGACTCGCCCATTCCATGTCCAGTGTGCCATGCAAAGGAGATAAAGGTGTCCCATCTTGATCCCTTGGAGGTTCAAGACTTAACTATTACCCTGCCTAGCACGGGAGAAGCAATCTCCTTCAAGACGGCCACGGAAACATTCATGCAACAGCACTACCCAGACTTGCAGAAGACGTCTTACCGCGTGCCAGCTGCATTCTTCTATGACCACAAAGGGGATCTGGATCTGGAGACCAACGAAGACATTCTAACTTCTCGGGACTGTTTAAGAGCACGGGGTTCTGCCGCTCGATCCCCAACCGAAGTGGTCATCGACCGATTTCAGAAGGACGCTGTCGAAAAAGTGGTTCGGCGGTTACACGCATGGAGCGCGGGTCGTGGGGAAGGCATGATGATACTCAGTGAGTACAAGATGCAAGACTATCTCCGAGTAGCGACGAAAAGCGCCAAGAGCAAGAAACGGAAGAAACTGGTTGGCGATCACGACGTCATGGTCATCCACTACGAGAGTGGAGTCGTGGTGTTCGTTCAGGTGAAGAGTGTGCGAGAAACCAGCGCCTGGAAGACAATCCGTGGTAAGCTGAAGAATGCCTGGGAACAAGCCATCAAAGACGAGGGCGCATTCCGAGAGTTAAACGCCGACATGGGAGACTCCATCTCCAAGGTGCATGTCCTACGGTTAGTTGCTCTTCCGGAGCTTTCCAGCAGTCACCTGACGAGTATGGGTGTTTGTGACTCCCACAGAGGCAGTGTCCTCACCAAAGAAATATTGCAGTCAGCTTCAGTCTTCGATAATTGGATCATTGAACACCTCATCCGCATCAAACAGCAGAAAGACTCGACAGGATTCTCTTTGGGGACGTACACGGAGTTGTGCGGCAGGTACGTTGGGTTAGCCTCCGTCGTTAGAATCCGTACTCTGCCCGATGCTGTAAAGAAGGCAAGTGCTAAGACCGGGAAAATCCTGCTGACTCCGGAGCAGAAAGAGATAATTGCAGTCGGCTCCAAACGACAGATAATAATGGGAGAGTTCGGCACGGGCAAGTCATTGGTCCTAGCAAAAATGGCGGAGAAGATAGTAGGGGTACAAGAAGGAGACTGTGTCGATGAGGAACCAAAGAAGAATACTGTTTTCATCGTGTCATGTACCGGTGTGTCTCACACTCGCACAATGGGAAGGCTGCGTCGGTCTCCTTGCCACTTAGTAGCTCATCTGAGAAATCTGATCTACGACCAGTCGTCGTCTCTGAAGATCATGTCGGTAGGTGGTCTCTTCCTCTACTGCTACCCTGAGCTCGACCCTTACCATCAGCGACTCGATCCCACCAAGATGTCAGAGCTGACCCGAAAGATCATGTCAATGCATCCAGAGATGCAAATTCACATCATGTGGGATGAGGTGCCGTTTATACCTAAGTGGAACTGGAACCCACTTAAAGACCTTGCGGAGGAGCACCCAGAAACCTTCATCTGGGTTACAATAGCAACGGGCACCTACATCACAATGGATTCCGGGAGTCCAACAGCTTGTGTCTCTCAGAAGATACCCTCCAACTTTGCTGTCTCGCACCTGAAGCGGTGCATGCGGATGACGCGAAATGGGTTCAATTTCTACCGGGCTCTGCAGGAGCACCTTGGGGATAAAGGCTGTAGCTCGACCATCAGTGGGAACGCCGTGCACGGTGGTATTCCTCTGTGGTATTCCATGCCTGACTGTGTCTGCAACACTTCAGAGCCACTGGACTGCACCTGCATCCAGACGCGGCTGACTAACACTCTAGAGCGTGTGTGGGGCCTGCTCAAGGATATCAATCCCTCTCAGGTCTCGATCGTCGTTCGAGACAGCGAGTACCAAATTGACAAGTTCTTGTTCGCCAATGTCAAGCAAGCTTGCCGAAGTCTTGACATTCCGGAGGAGCAGAGTCCGTCCACGGACCACCCTTCAATTGCCCCTCCCTTCACTGCCCCTCCCAATATTTTCTCACGAATGCCTGCCTTTTTGTCACGAGCGCCATTTGTTTCAACACGAAGGTCCTTTTTGAACGTCGTGCAAACGTTGACTTGTGTCGCCATATTGAGATCCCTACGTCCGATTATAGTACCCATGATCCAGTGTTAGAGCAAAGGCTTAAACCTTCAAGGCCAAGGCCAAGGCTTTGACCCTCAAGGCCAAGGCCAAGGCCAAGGCTTAGACCTTCAAGCCTCGAGGCCAAGGCCAAGGCTTAACCCTCAAGGCTAAGGCCAAGGCCCTGTTTTAAAAATGACCACTGATATAGAACTAATTATAGTCACATGACACATCATCACGAATCGCCCGTTAAGAAGAACAATATGTCTTAAATTACAATGAACATGCTCGCATACACCGTTTTATGACTGCATTAGGTCTATTCAAGTATAAGTTCAGGTCTTCAATATGGTTTAACTAAAACAAAATAAAGATTTACTTCTTTATTGACGCACAATTCTCCCGAGTGTAACAAAAGGGGGATCCAAGAAACTGATTTGGGAAATTTTTATTTGCTAGGCCAACATGGTCAGAAATATCAGCATTATCTAAAACAGATACATGCAAATCTTTAGCACTTATCAGGGAGACTTATACAACCATCAGATCTATTCCATAATTGTATACAATTTAAGTGATCATTTCATTAGCCCCACAGGTGTACAGAATATTTTTGCAGCAAATCTACTACAATGGTAACAACATGTGATGCTAAAAAAAGTGGAAGTGTGCCCAACACACAAATCTACAAGGGGTTTCCCTCCTCCATGGTAATACGATTAAAATGGTAACAGCAAAATTTCGAACAGATTTATCTGGAAAATGCAAAAATCTATGGGCCTTGAAGAGCCTTGACTCAAAATTGCAAGGCCGTGATCCCTCAAGGCCAAGGCCAAGGCTTTTGCCCTTAAGCCTCGAGGCCAAGGCCAAGGCCCTAAAATCCAGCCTTAAGGCAGCCTTAAGGCCAAGGTCCAGCATCAAGGCACTACATCACTGCCATGATCGCCCTTTTTGGCGCTCCCATGGCAAGAAGGTGTCCAGTCCCCCCCCCCCCCTTCCTTGAGTTTATGGAGGCTGGGTGAGGATGAAAAAACACCCTGGCCTGTATACCTTTCAGCACGGATGAGATGAGTGCCCTTTTTCACGTCTACTCAAATAAAAATGACCATGGTACGCCACTTAAGTATCCCTGACACATTCAACTTTTAATGAACGTGTGTAAGGAAAAGTTTCAAAAGTTGTCAAACTTAAAACAGTATTTCAGTTTAATTAATTACCAGTTGTCAACTATAATGTTCAGAAATCAAGTCGATAAGCGATCAACAAGACAGGTATCAATAACCTGCGAGTAATGACGATGGTAGGCTTATGCAACCCGGCTGTATAAACGACAGCATGTGTCCGACTGTTCCCTTTACATCTTTCAAAGATCGAATCCTGAAACAAATAAGACAAAGTTAACTTCTCCGTTCATATAAAGTTTTGTTCGGACCAATTTCCCTGCTCACTGAGATCTGAAACGTTAGTGAAGGTTCTTAGTTAACACAATTGTCTTTGGTCATTCAATTTCATGAACAGAGTCTGGGTGTTCAAGTTTGTCGTCTCAGAAATGACGCGTGACGAGATAACAAAAAGGACTAATTAGGGAACCTCTTTCAGTATTTTCAACAGAAATCATTAAAGTGAAGCTTTTGAAACCGTCTTTTAGTTTATTTCGTTAAAAAGGTATTTATTAATGGGAATAACAGTGTGAGGATCCGGTCTTCACTACGTGATAATGACCGGGTGTGGGGGTGACCGCTGTTAATGGAATTCGACTTCGTCTCGGTCCATTAACAGCGGTCACCCCCACACCCGGTCATTATCACGCAGTGAAGACCGGCTCCTCACACTGTTATTCCCTTATCAAAAGCATCCTTAAAGTAACGTGATTTGCTACAAGAACTATATCGGTAGCTTTGAAGCGCTATAACTCAAAAACTAGCTGAACAGCCCCTCATTTTAACACGGATTACTAACGTTATTTTTTCACGTGCTTTTGCAATAAAGCATAGTAAAGTTTGCCCAGACCGCGTTAAAACATACACGGAGACAGTTCTTTTAAACCTAGCAATTTTTTAGCGCTGAAAAGGCAAATATCCTATGATCGCAGGATATATGAGGCTGCATCCGAATCAGTTGTCTAGAGCTAGGTCTAGGTCTGCGCCCATTGAAAATACGCGGGGACGCGCTGACAATAGACGTAGCCGTAGCTCTGGAAGCCCATTTCGGACACGGCCTTATACTCCGATCGGAGGATTATTGTATACGGCGATCAAAGTATAACGCCCTCAACGTTCACTTATTTCCAGAGCTAGTTATCCGTCCGATTTCCCCGATGACAATTAACTAAACACGTCATCCCAAAAGAGTTGCAATAATTTCGTGACACAATTTGGAATTCTTGCTCCTTCATTGAGGCACTCTTGGCAAACAGATAGACTGCAGGTAAATCTTTGTCGAATTAAGCAGGGGTACTATTGTTGTTAATCATGATCATGTAATCTATGTTGTTGGACATAAATTATCCCGTGTGGCCTGCCTCCGTATTGCAATTGCTGCGCTGTGACACTGTAGCTGTAGCCCAGGTGGTGGACTCCCTTTCCTGTTACAAGGTTACTGTTAGTCGTAATGCAATTTCTCCAACCATGGAGAAATAATAATTTTATTTCTCCATGGTTCAACATGGTTCAACCTGGTCCTGGTTCCTCCATGGTTCAACCTGGGCTAGGCCACACTGGTGCAGTGGTGGTGCACCCTTTTTGGCATTTTTTTTTTTTTTTACACATGTATAGCTCTACTGAGTGGAGCGTTGAATTACGGGTACCCCTCCATACAAAGGAAGACAGTAGCCCTGGATAGATCCACACATTCATGACATTCCATATGACCCCCTCAAATTGTTTCAAACAACCGGTAATTTTGAAAAAAAGAACAAAATAGTCTGAACTTACCGCTCATAATTAAACATGTTAAATGTGTCTGCCGAGTTGCACAGTCTATTTCGCTGACATGACTGATGCATAATTCATTGCGCGCGTGTGTGACGTCACTATTGAAGAAAAACAAGTTGCGCTTACTCAATAGCTGTTTTATGTAGTCATATGTGCCCCGCGCTGTCTGACTGTGGGTTTTTGGTGCGGGGCACATATCAGTACATGAAACAGTCATTGATTAGGCGCGACTTGTTTTTCTTCAATAGTGACGTCACACACGCACGCAATGAATTATGCATCAGTCATGTCAGTGAAATAGACTGTGCAACAGTATACAGTCAAACACCTTTTCTTGATTATTCCTGGCTTTGGAGGATTTTTTTTTTATAAAAAGTAAAAGACAGGTGCACATCTTTCCGATATTACCGGTTCACCAGATCCCCCCATCACCCATACAAATGTACTTTTTTGTCACTGTTGCAGTTAGAGTAGACCGCAACGTGACCAGCTACACGCATGCCCGATTCCGTCTTATAATCAGATCACATGATGATCAGATCTGTCACATGATGACAATCATGTGACTTTCTTTGATGAATCTGATTGGTTTACATAACTATTGCGTCCAGCATGTCCGGTGAGATCAGATCCAATGAAATTGCATACGAAAAAATCAAACATGTTTGATTTCATCCGATCGCACGGTATACAGTCAGATTGATCTGAATTTTCAGCGCACACCTCTGTATGATGGCCCGATGATCTGGTGAACCGGTAAGATCGGAAAGGTGTGCGCCGGCTCAAGTAAAGTCCAAGATATCCGTCATGATTGACTGATAGCGCAGCGATCCACCGATCGGGCAGATCAACCGATCAAGTAATGTCCGAGATATCCGTCATGATTGACTGATAGCGCAGCGATCCACCGATCGCACAGATCAACCGATCAAGTAATGTCCGAGATATCAGTCATGATTGACTGATAGCGCAGCGATCCACCGATCGGGCAGATCAACCGATCAAGTAATGTCCGAGATATCCGTCATGATTGAACGATAGCGCAGCGATCCACCGATCGCACAGATCAACCGATCAAGTAATGTCCAAGATATCAGTCATGATTGACCGATAGCGCAGCGATCCACCGATCGCGCAGATCAACCGATCAAGTAACGTCCGAGATATCAGTCATGATTGACCGATAGCGCAGCGATCCACCAATCGCGCAGATCAACCAATCAAGTAATGTCTGAGATATCAGTCATGATTGACTGATAGGGCAGCGATCCACCGATCGCGCAGATCAACCGATCAAGTAATGTCAGAGACATCCGTCGTGATTGACCGATAGCGCAGCGATCCACTGATTGCGCAGTTAAACCGATCACACAGATCAACCAATCGCTCCTTAAAAAAACCTGAAAATTGTATCCTTTAATTTTTGAACATATATTTCCCTTTTCTTTTTTATACTGCAGAGTAGTAACATCAAAGATTGTCCAGTAACTTCAGTCTGTGAGTACTTGAAATACCGTTTTTTGCCAGGATGACGTCCAAGACCAAGTCACATGATATTGAGAGCATCGTTGACGACTTCCGTTATGGGACCAATGTGGCTACAGCTCACCTCTCCATTCGTTTAGGTAAGAAGTGTTTCAGGGTGCAGACCAGTAAATCGGTCTGAAATTGCCTGCGCCGGCCAAATCACGATTTGCATGCCCTCAAAATCTTCGGTATTTGAACATGCTGTGGGCCATGAACTTGAGGGTTTGTAAAAAATATGGGTGGAAGCCGTGCACAGGACTGGGAGCTTGCAGTTCTGTGTAATTTTGATGTAATTTGGACCCTAAAAGCGCTCTATTTTGCAGTGGAGTGTAGGCATCGTTTTTCAAAATGGCGATGGGCTTCAGGACTATTTTCAGGGGTGATCATCTTCAGATGAAAATTTCTCCTAAAAGTCATCAGTTGACCCCCCGAAAATTGAAAAGAAAATGAAAGATGATGAAATAAGCTTTAATTTGATGTGTGTCTCGAACACCTTGGAGAGTTGTGAATATTTTTCCCGATTTTTTGAAGTGGGAGCATATACCATTGGGGTCTATGGAAGTTTATTTACTGGTCTGCTACCTTAAATGGCAGTGCTGTAGACAAGTCCATTGCAAGTCCAGTCACAAGTAAACAGGGGGTGATGAATAATAAACAGGAATCCTTTTCTCACTGTTCATTTGATTAGCATTTGGCTTGACTTGGGACTGGATAACTTGTGATCATAGAGCTATATTAAATTACTAGAGCGCTAACTCCTCATTCTTGCGTGCGGAGACGCTTTGAAGCCGCTCTGGGCGCAGACATTTTGAATTTATGTGCGTGTTTGTAGAACACAATCAAAATAGATGGATTGAATTTTAAAAGTGTACTCTAAATGCAACGCGCAAGTAGAAGATACGCAAACAACTTCAGCGCGTCATGACGGTTCAAAAAACGTCACGGCTAAAAACATCTGCAGCGGAGGGACGCGCACACGTTGCGCTGTTTGCGTAGAGCAAAATGAAACGCTCATTTGCTGATCGTGCGTTTTGGTTTTGGGCGTATCGGCTTTGATGACACACCAGTATGGAATACAAACGCAGATATGCAAATAGCCGTACAAAAGCCGTACAAAATTTCGAGTTTTCCATAAGTTTGTGCACAAACATGGATGCGCCCATCAGGCATTACTTTGTACAACGAGTTAGCGCTCTTGTAATTTAATATAGCTGATAGACTGGTGATGGACTTGGTGATGACCTGGATTGGACCGGAGATTGTGCGTACAAAGCCAGGTCACGGCATCCCATGCGGGGCGTCCCACGCACCGTCCCACACGGCCTCCTCGAGGCCAGCCACTCGAAAAATAATCACGCTGCAATTATCTGTCCCCTTGACCAAAAGAAGCCCCCGTAAGTCTCCAATAACATATTGTGGGTTTTTTTCGTGCGGAATTATAGCGCGCTGTATATCACGTGACTATAAGGCCAAAAAAAATATATATTCGGTCTCTGGTCAGACCAAAGTTCCGGAATTGACGCGGGGACGCGGCCTTTTTTTCTTTTTTTTTTTTGCTTTTTTTTTTTTTTTTCAAGCTTGGATTGTACAGACAAGGTGGGGTACTATTTTGCTTTTTTTGGTGTCCTCATGTACACTGGTGTCCTCCATAATTTGCCTTGGTGCTTTCGATCATTTGCCTTGGTGCAATTTCCCATTCCTTGGTGCTCTTTGGTAAACAAAATTGAGGAGGTGCGGCAATAAAGGGCACTGTTGGAGCTACCGCGGAACATTTTGGGAAAAAAAAAGATTGACGCGCATGATTAAAATCGACGCGCGCGCTGACCAGAGACTGACTTATTTTTTTTTTTGGCCTAACATTACTTTATATATTTTGCCTCCATTTACGAAATTTTGATAAACAACTTTACTAATATTATTGTCACAAACAATTTTTGTTAATTATTTAAGTTATTTTAGTTGCTTTTTTTTAAATTAAAATTTGGTGGTTATGTTTTGTGGGAAACTTAGGGGGCTTGTTTTTGGTCAATTATCCGGGGACAGGCCTACCGATCAACCAGCCGACTGACCGACCGACCGACCAACCACGAAGAGACATGTAGAGGTTCCAGCCAGAGCTTAAAAAGCCAACAGTGTGTACGAGACTTGGAACGCCAAGTTACTCAAAGGAATAAACGTAACTTAAATAGCAAATGAATAGATTAAAAAACAGAAAATGCATTGCTTGCACTTTAATACACTGTACTTAATTGTACATTTCACTGCAGGTTTCCTACGGAAGGTGTTTGGGATTCTCAGCACACAGCTCTTGGTGACAACTGTAGTATCTGCCATCTTCATGTACACAGATGGAGTCAAGGCCTACGTTCAGAAAAGGTTTGTATTTGGTTGGATAAGCTGATAAACCTATAACATCATTGACAATTCTGTTTGGGCAACAGTGGCATATTTGGGCACCATCCCCCCCCCCCCCTACACGCCTCAGGATGGGAGCAACTCAGGAAAAAAATCAAAGGTGCTCCACTGTCATATGAGGCCTAAAAGTAACAATTTCTTTCAACATATTTTATGTTTTCACGAAGTGACAAAGACTGTGTACGAAGAAGTGGGAAAAATAATACAGGCCTCCGCGTGTTGCTGTTTTCACGAAGTGTAAAAGAATTAACCCTAACTCTAGCGTCTTTACTAGGAACTGGACCAAGTCCGTCAAAATCCATCAATCACTGTGCATCCAATACAAAACTGTACATGACATAATGGAATCCACCACTGACTTACTGGTTGACATTCATGGACTTGCTACACATGACTTTTATCACAATAGCAATACAGGAAGCTAGGCAAAATCAATCGGATACCCCTAGCACTGCTTCAGGCTATTAGGCCCAAGTCCATCATACTCCATCAATATTAAGTAACCCCAGGCCTCCTGGACCAAGTAGCAAAGACCAAAGCATTCGTCACTTGACAATGCAAACATTTCCCTAATCTGTAACTACAAAGTGGTCGAACATGTGTTTTGAAAAAGGATCACCTTCAAACGTGATTATCTCGGGGTGACCTTTTTTGCAGGATAGAGGTTTTTGTCACTGTGTGAAAACAACATTGATATAGGGATGGATGGAGCCCTGGTACGTATGGTATGGTGTTTCAGAGGTCACAGGTTCAAATCCTGCACCAGCCAATTTCTTTGACTAATCTTCTCTCTCTCTCTCTCTGTCTGCAGTCAAGGGATGCTTGTCACGGCTTACGTGTCTTCCATATTCCTCCTCCTGGCGTTATTCGTCAAACGCAGAGATTCACCAATCAACATGATCCTTCTTGGACTATTTGTAAGTACAGTCCTGTCCCTGCAGCGGGTGTCCCTCTTGATCCCAGTGTGACTTGCATTGGATCCCACAGCTCACATTGTGTGATGGCCTGGACAAATGTTTTCGGACTTTCCAGTTTAGTTTTTTTTTAACTCCAATATTACTTGGCCTTGTAAAAGATCGTAAACCTCAATGTACATGTAAAGAATCTCCTATGAAAACATGTCGGTGAAGGGCAAACCCCAATATTGAATTTAAATCACCCTGACGCAATTTCCATCTTATGAATTTAAGCAATTCGAGTTCGCGCGCTAGTAATTTAATTTAGTTCTATGGCATGTTGATACATGCAGTGATTTTGCATAGAGATGACAGCATTGGTGAGCATTTGTCTGATATATTTATAGTCCTCTTTTGCACGCAGACTTTTGTGGAAGCCTACAGCGTTGGAACCATCGTGACCTTCTACAACAAAGCCGTGGTGTTGCAGGCATTCACCCTGACCATGGTGGTGACACTCAGCCTGACTGCTTACACCATGCAGAGCAAGAAAGACTTCAGCTCATGGGGTGCAGGGTAGGTACACAAAATGACTCATGTCACCAAGAAAATAAAATTCCTGAGCCTTGTGGAGTGCAGTGCCCTGTGGAATGCTGTGGCCTCGTGGTCTGGAGCATTGAATTTGTGGTCTGTGGGTAATTCTGCAGGTTGTGGGTACGAGTCCAGCCTGGACTCGCAATCAATTCCATTTATTAAAGCTAGAGTCCATCATTTGCAGCCATCCGAAAAGTAACTGGCGTAATTATTGTTGAAAAACAAACTTGGTCGAAAGATAGTAAGGGAACTAAACTCCCTGTGAAATTATTCTTTCTGGGAAGCTGTCATTTTGAAGTAATCAACGAAAGAAGGCATTTCCAACAGTGATTCTTAAGAAGCACCGTAGGAAAATTTAAATTAGTAGTTCGTTTTGTTATTCAGCGCAGCGCGCACAAGTATTGGAACGACGCACACGCGCGCGCGGTTGTTACAATTCGTCGGATCAGTGCGCGACGTCGCGTATAGCTGCAATTCAAAACAATTGAAAACATGATTCAGTAACTTTTGATTTGAAATTGAGATCCTAGAATGCTGTTTTTCTCGAAATGTACAGCTGAAGCTGAGCTGAAACTTCATCAGGTTAGTTGTTCAGTATCCTTCATTAGATTTTGAGCACTTTTGTTGCTTCAAACGAACAAAATGCACAAATTACAAATGATGGACTATACCTTTAAAATGTTGTAAATAAATTAATAATCCCTTCAACCACAGGTTGTACTCGGCCCTCTTGATCCTCGTCCTCAGCGGCCTCCTCCACATCTTCCTGCCTGACAGCGATGCGGTGGAGTTCCTCCTCATCCAATCAGTGAATCAATCACTCCCTCACCAAGTCAATCAATCTTTCCTTGTCCTCCCTGTAGGTTGTACTCGGCCCTCCTGATCCTCATCCTCAGCGGCCTCCTCCACATCTTCCTGCCTCACAGTGATGGGGTGGAGTTCCTCCTCATCCAATCAGTGAATGAATCAATCAATACCCAGTCAATCAATCTTTTATTGTTCTCCCTGTAGGTTGTACTCGGCCCTCTTGATCCTCGTCCTCAGCGGCCTCCTCCACATCTTCCTGCCTCACAGCGATGCGGTGGAGTTCCTCCTCATCCAATCAGTGAATCAATCACTCCCTCACCAAGTCAATCAATCTTTCATTGTTCTCCCTGTAGGTTGTACTCGGCCCTCTTGATCCTCATCCTCAGCGGCCTCCTCCACATCTTCCTGCCTCACAACGATGCGGTGGAGTTCCTCCTCATCCAATCATTGAATGACTCAATCACTCACTGAGTCAATCAATCTTTCTTTGTCCTCCCCTGTAGGCTGTACTCGGCCCTCTTGATCCTCGTCCTCAGCGGCCTCCTCCACATCTTCCTGCCTCACAGCGATGCGGTGGAGTTCCTCCTCATCCAATCAGTGAATGACTCAATCACTCACTCACATCAAATCTTTCATTGTTCTCTCTGTAGGTTGTACTCGGCCCTCTTGATCCTCATCCTGAGCGGCCTCCTCCACATCTTCCTGCCTCACAGCGATGCGGTGGAGTTCCTCCTCATCCAATCAGTGAATCAATCACTCCCTCACCCAGTCAATCAACAATCTTTCCTTGTTCTCCCTGTAGGTTGTACTCGGCCCTCTTGATCCTCGTCCTCAGCGGCCTCCTTCACATCTTCCTGCCTCACAGCGATGCGGTGGAGTTCCTCCTCATCCAATCAGTGAATGACTCAATCATTCACTCAGTCAATCAATCTTTCATTGTCCTCCCTGTAGGTTGTACTCGACCCTCTTGATCCTCATCCTCGGTGGCCTCCTCCACATCTTCCTGCCTCACAGCGATGCGGTGGAGTTCCTCCTCATCCAATCAGTGAATGACTCAATCACGCACTCAGTCAATCAATCTTTCATTGTCCTCCCTGTAGGTTGTACTCGGCCCTCTTGATCCTCGTCCTCAGCGGCCTCCTCCACATCTTCCTGCCTCACAGCGATGCGGTGGAGTTCCTCCTCATCCAATCAGTGAATGACTCAATCACTCACTCAGTCAATCAATCTTTCATTGTCCTCCCTGTAGGTTGTACTCGACCCTCTTGATCCTCATCCTCGGTGGCCTCCTCCACATCTTCCTGCCTCACAGCGATGCGGTGGAGTTCCTCCTCATCCAATCAGTGAATGACTCAATCACTCACTCAGTCAATCATTCTTTCCTTGTCCTCCCTGTAGGTTGTACTCGGCCCTCTTGATCCTCGTCCTCAGCGGCCTCCTCCACATCTTCCTGCCTCACAGCGATGCGGTGGAGTTCCTCCTCATCCAATCAGTGAATGACTCAATCACTCACTCAGTCAATCATTCTTTCCTTGTCCTCCCTGTAGGTTGTACTCGGCCCTCTTGATCCTCGTCCTCAGCGGCCTCCTCCACATCTTCCTGCCTCACAGCGATGCGGTGGAGTTCCTCCTCATCCAATCAGTGAATGACTCAATCATTCACTCAGTCAATCAATCTTTCATTGTTCTCCCTGTAGGTTGTACTCGGCCCTCTTGATCCTCGTCCTCGGTGGCCTCCTCCACATCTTCCTGCCTCACAGCGATGGGGTGGAGTTCCTCCTCATCCAATCAGTGAATGAATCACTCACTCACTCACATCAAATCTTTCATTGTCCTCCCTGTAGGTTGTACTCGGCCCTCTTGATCCTCATCCTCGGTGGCCTCCTCCACATCTTCCTGCCTCACAGCGATGCGGTAGAGTTCCTCCTCATCCAATCAGTGAATGACTCAATCACTCCCTCAGTCAATCAATCTTTCCTTGTTCTCCCTGTAGGTTGTACTCGGCCCTCCTGATCCTCATCCTCAGCGGCCTCCTCCACATCTTCCTGCCTCACAGCGATGCGGTGGAGTTCCTCCTGGCCGTCTTTGGAGCCATCCTCTTCTGCGCCTTCATCGTCTTCGACGTCCACATGATGATGCACAAGCTGTCGCCGGAGGAGTACATCTTGGCCTCCATCAACCTGTACCTGGACATCTTGAACCTGTTCCTGCACATACTGCGCATTCTTGGAGAGGCACAGAAGAAGTAGATGGAAATCTTCAAGCTAATGCCCGTTCCCATGACTGAATTTGTGTTATCTTGTTGATACTGCCCCTACCTCAGTAGCAGCTTCACAGCACTGGTCAGGGACTGGGTGCATATCTGTTCCCGCAGGTGAACAAAACCCAAATTAGTCTTAGTCCCTAATCACATTAATAATCAAGTCAGTTAATACCATAGAGCTATATTAAGTTACTAGAGCGCTAACTCCTCATTCTTGCGCGCAGAGACGCTTTGAAGCCGCTCTGGGCGCAGACATTTTGAATTGATGTGCGTGTTTGTGGGAAACAATCAAAATAGATGGATTGAATTTTAAAAGTGTACTCTAAATGCAACGTGCAAGTAGAAGTAACGCAAACAACTTAAGCGCGTCACGACGGTTCAAAAAATGTCATTTTGAATTTATGTGCGTGTTTGTAGAACACAATCTAAATAGATGGATTGAATTTTAAAAGTGTACTCTAAATGCAACGCGCAAGTAAAAGATACGCAAACAACTTAAGGGCGTCGTGACGGTTCAAAAAATGTCACGGCGAAAAGCATCTGCAGTGGAGGGACGCGCACACGTTGTGCTGTTTGCGTAGAGCAAAATGAAACGCTCACTTGCTGATCGTGCGTTTCAGTTATGGGCGTATCGGCTTCGATGACGCACCGGTATGGAATATAAACGCAGATATGCAAATAGCGATACAAAAGCCGTACAAAATTTCAAGTTTTCCATAGGTTTGTGCACAAACATGGATGCGCCCATCAGGCATTACTTTGTACATCGAGTTAGCACTCTAGTAATTTAATATAGCTCTGTGGTTAATACGCAAGTCAAGGCCCAACTATGCTATGGACACATTGGAGAAATTGTCAGTTTACCTGTATACAGGTACTTATTGTGACTGAATCAATTACATCTCAAGTAACGTTAATAATGTTATGGCACATTCCCTGGATCACAACTCTAACAAATGATTGTGGACTACATTCCTCTGTATACAATTTACAGTACGTTGAAGCAAAAGGTTCACTCTTCAGAAATATTTTAAATCATAATCTTACAGTACGGACATGTTGGGGGGGGGGGGCTGAACCAGGGAACCATTCTATGAAGTGTGCTTCCTGTGTTTTGATTGAAGTATTTTAGAATGAAAGGTTTGCGGAAACACCATGTGCAAATAATTTCTCAACTAAGAGAAGAACCAGAGGTATGAACTCGACGTTCTGGTCAGTATGCTCTGCCTGTCTTTAGTGGGCACACCAAGCTTGCTCTAGGTTCCCAGCTCTTCGGCATCCACACAGGATGCAACTTCACACTTCATCAATTTCGCTTTTGCTACTTAAGGCCAAAAAAAATAAGTCTCCGGTTTCTGGTATGGAGCTTGTCCAAAAAGTGGTGCGGCGACGCGGCTTTTTTTTTTTTTTTTACCTGACTTTTTTGCTTCAAATGTCGGCTGATGACTGAAATGGTGCCCGACTAAACTTAGTGCAAATATATGGGAGTCCAGAGAGGCCACATAAAGCTTATTCTCGATCATAACCCCATCTAAAAACACGTTAAAATTGTGAAGTAGCAGGATTCCAGTCAAACCAGTGAGTTTGGCGGTTTTGAGACATCTTTCATTGAAAAAAAACCTTTTTCATTTTGCCGACGCGCATGGCTACAGGGACGCGCGCGCATACCAGAAACCGGAGACTTTTTTTTTTGGCCTAAGCGTTTAATTTCTTAGAGTTTCGGCACTCTCCTGAAGGTGGTCAGAGCATACTGACGGGAACGTCGAATTCATACCCGTGGTTCTTTTCAGAACCATTCTCTTGAGTTGAGAAATTCTTCGCCCTTTGTTTTTCCGCAAACCTTTCATTATTTAGTATTTCCACCATGCAAAGCCTCAAATCTTACTTATTCCAGAATATTGCTGCAGAAGTGAACTGGAGAACAGGCTTTATTCACGAGTCGGCTATATTAAATTGAAAGCGAGGTAAAATCTATATTTTGGGAACTTGCGAGTAGAAATGAAAGCAATGAAATGAAGTTAATTACAAATTAGTACCAGTCTGCTTCGACGAATAATTTACAAATGTGATTAAACAAACCCTAATGTTTTAAGCCACATTTAAAAAAGAAAAGAAAAAAAGTGAGGCTTGGATTGCATAGTCTGGCACCATCCCATTCAACAGTTCACAATTTATAAAATACATTCAGGGAACATGATCAAAAATGGCTTCCTTATGAATAAGGTCTATTGTACATATATATAGCAATATTGTCTCATGTTAAAATTGTCATTGTGTAAGAGGTTGTTTGGTTTCTTGTTTTCATTTTCTTTTTAATGTTCACTAGTATTCATGGTATTGTCCTTAATTCTGTCCTTCTGATTTGAAAATCACAGGCGTGTGAAAAAAGGTACACTTGGATTTTTCTGGGCGTGTAATTTTTCTAGGCGTGTGATGTTTCTAGGCGTGGGATTCTGTGGTCCAAACTGGGACTGACCAATCTGGTAGTTTTCTATACGATATTCATCTTGGTTTACAGTAAAGACATTTCAAGAACTCAAAGACGTTTAATTATGCCGTAAATGTATGCAGAGGTGTGCGGTACAGAGGAACTCGGGCGTGCAATTACTCACACTTCTCGGGAAGCTTTTAGGTGTGCGATGGCGTGGGGGTGCGATTGCACGCCTCAAATCAGGAGGACTGCCTTAATTTGTTCAAGTCCAACTCTGTTCGGAAAAATGAAGTTGTATATTCTTTAAAAAAAGAAAAGACAAAATTTGGAACATCCAGTCCCACACATCTGAATCTGAAACACTGCTTAAACTTGGTGTACAGTTTTGATGGCAAAGTATGACAATTGGCAATTTCCTTATCCCAAAATAAACAGTGTGAAATGAAAATGACAAGACAAGAATAACTTGACACGATGCATAATTAGTCAGAGGTGTGTACTTTTATTCAAGTAATACTTTTCAATTTAGCAATATATTTTGTAAATTTTTCGAGTTGACAGTTATCTACACTATATGCAACTGGAAAAAAAAAATAGTTTGAAATACTTTACAAAGCAATACAAGTATTTTGGTGGTGGTATTGGTACATGTATTAAAAAAAAATTGAAAAGGACTTCCTTTTGGAGCAATAGATCTAAATCTTTAGTGTAGAAACATACATATTATTATATGATAACATGTACTTTTGTCATTCCCCAAGTGGAAATTCATTTTGTGTCACGGTTATTAGTCCTGGAAAAGATCCTTTGCTTTTGTTTGTTTTGGTCAACAAAGCTGTTTTTAAGAGAATATAAATAGTTCAGGGGGGGGGGGGTGTCAACCCCCTGTTTAGCCGCTGACTAATGTTATGCATACAACATGTGCATGTAGTAAAATGAAGCCATCTGACATTAAATATATAGTCCATCATTTGTAATTTGTGCATTTTGTTCGTTTGAAGCAACAAAAGTGCTCAAAATCTAAAGAAGGGTACTGAACAACTAACCTGATGAAGTTTCAGCTCAGCTTCAGCTGTATATTTCGAGAAAAACAGCATTCTAAGATCTCAATTTCAATTCTCGATTTTAAATCAAAAGTTGCTGAATCATGTTTTGAATTGGGCCTGAATTCAGCATCCGAGACACATTCTCACTGAGCCGATTGCAGCTACATGTACGCGATGTCGCGCACTGATCCGACGAATTATAGCAACTGCGTGTGCGTCGTGCCAATGCTTGCGCGCGCTTCGCCGAATAACAAAACGAACTACTAATTTAAATTTCCGTCGTGCCAATGCTTGCGCGCGCTTCGCCGAATAACAAAACGAACTACTAATTTAAATTTCCTACGGTGCGTCTTAAGAAGCACAGTTGGAATGGCCTTCTTTCGTTGGTTACTTCAAAATGACAGCTTGCCGGAAAAAATAATTTCACGGAGTTTAGTCCCCTTACTATCTTTCAACCAAGTATGTTTTTCAACAATAATTACGCCAGTTACTTTTCGGATAGCTGCAAATGATGGACTATAGCTTTAGTCTTTATCAGACATGATGGAAGTTTTGTATAACAGTGGCTTTGTATTATAGTCTAGAATAATTGAAATATATTTTATATACATGTAGATGTTTCGAGTCCAAAGTCAAATACCTGTAAACAGAAATTTATGAATAACTTATTTTATGTTGGTGACGGGACATTTCAGAACAATGATAAGCAATGTGAAATTGCATGGATCGAATAAAAATTGTGTGAGAAAAATGTATCGCCGTGTTTAGCCCCTATCTGTCTCAATTCAAATGGAAAAAGCCCTTAAAGCCCGGTTTAAGGCCCCCTTAAAGTCACAAATTCGTGTTTGCTTTTTTACAGTCGCGCAGAGTATGAACCGGGCTTAATCATGTATTCGCAACAAAACAATTTTTTTTATCCAAGTGAACAACTGCCCTCTCAATTGACATTGAGTGAAATGAATATTGTGATTTACCTGTCAAGCTGATCTTTGACAGATTTTAAAGCTGCAAATAAGGGCTTAATTCCTCAGGGAAGCTCTCAAATCATGCATGTAAAAAGTGGCAATTTTAGGATTTTACGCCACTGACAAGTCTCAGTTGGGAAATGGATCATGAGTCTGGTTCCGAGTCTAGTTCACTTTCCGATTCTGTACTCGAGTCTGAATCGGAATCGTCTGACGACTCGGAATCAGACTCGGAATCTGAAGCAGATACTGTTGCATCTACTTTCCCATGGGACTGCCTGTTCCATTCTCCCTCAACACAGCCAGTTACTTCCGGATCGCATTCCTCACTTTTGGCATCAGAGCAGCATTTCCCGAGATCAACAACTGTTTCTGGGTCACAGGAACGAAGCGTTTCGGACTTGGATCCTCTCTTGCCGAAAACATTTCCAGTTCTGTCAGTTTCGCGCTGTTCTCCATCAGGAAGAATCTGACCATCGTCTTCAACTTGAATTTTATCTGTGCTCCCTTTCACAAAATCTGTGTGTTTTTCTGAACAGCAACTTGTACTCTTCTCACCAAACACCTCAATTTTCCTAGAAGGTGGCTTCCATGTCCAGTCCTCAAACGAAACCGGCAATGTTGCTTTCGACACGGTATCCGTTTCTTTCTCTTTCTCATTACACTTTGATGACTGTTCGCTTGCCTCCCCTGAAAGTTTCAAGTCTGACATTTTCGTTGCAACATCACTTAACACAGATTCTTCCACTGCGGCAGATTCACACTGGTCCCCTTGTCCGTTTGTAACTGGTTCCCTACAATC